TTGAAATCTTTAAAACTAATAATCTTTCTCGTATTCCAATAAACTTAATTTTATCAAATTCTTTGCACAGATCGTCAACAATATGTTGTAATCGTATACAAGACTGAAACTCCTCTAAACGATCAGGTGAATGTTACTGCTGATGTAATACGTTTCATAAATCACATCTCTTATTTCATCAGTAATTCAGCAACTGGTCATGCTCTTGGCAAACCTATTGCCGGGCTATTCTTTTATGTAAGTTTTCTTTTTGATCGAACAATTACGAATTAAGTTATTATAAAAATGGGTTAGCTAATATACCAATGATGAAAATGTAATTCCATTTCAATATCATCAACATTAATATAATATTCAAATTTCAAATAACTTTTGTAAAACAATGATTAGAAATATGATTTATCAATATTTCCCAGGATATTGGTATATCTTATGGAACAAAAGAATTTTACAAAGAAAAATTAACCAAAAAATTGATGAAAATAAGAATTATCGTTAAAAGTTTTACAATGTTCACAAATGAACTCATCCCTTCTACTTTAATTAATGTACATGAGATATATCTATGCTTGGATCATACCTTATACAGATCTTATCAACAAGATATCAATGAGAAAGATTGTTTCGATTATTTAACAATTATCACTGGATAGTATTTGCAATAAAATATAATGTAATTGTAATGGACGATTACATTTTACCTTTTATGATTCATAATTTCAGATTACGTCAAAGCGAACATTATTCCCAATACAACCTAAAATTCAGCCAATGCCACCATATTTTCCCCATCATTCCAAATCTTCAATGATTTATAATCGTAATTCTATCCTTGCATGGTTTCTTTTTGAAATTATTTTGATAATTTTTATATTGTTTGATTTTTTTTGACATTTATATTTGTTCTTTAAAAATTTCATTCTCGAATACTTTTCAAATTTTATGTATATTCAGGACTTTTAATCCTAATCTTTATACAATTATGATATGTAAATAAAAATAAAAGGAAAAAGCCAAACGATTGATCCGAAAAATTATGGAGTGGATTTAACGGCCAACGTTGTAACATGCCGCTTGCAAGAATGGCCTATGGTACAGTTGTAGTAGGTATTGCGCATTTTTGAAAGTCCGTTTGCTTCATCTTCTTCTAACTTCTAGTAGTTCTTTCCATTCATTTCATAAACTGTTTATATCATATTGTTGGGACAAGGTGATAATACGCCTCAAAAATCACGCAATCGTCATGTAAAAGGGATAGCTCTTTCTGAAATTCTAGACTTGAGGAAGTAGATAATTAAAAATTGGCTTAATTATTATTGAGTAATTCATTACTACAAATTCTTCATTGGCTGGAAATTTCTTCGGCAAGCTATCATCTGTTGCTGGATTTGGAAAATTTCGAATATTTCTTTTATTATACTGGATTAGGGATGAGAATAGCATGGAAGTTTAGGTCCATGAATTCAGTAATTCTACTTTTATATACTACAAGTAAATTAAAAAAAAAAAAAAAAAAAAAGTAGATTGTGAAAAGATTGTATTGTGCTTTTTTTATCATTTTCATACTGATTTATTGCTTTTGAAATTTTTTAGTTTTATAACATTTAGCGACGTATCCAATTAATTTATTATATTTTAATTATCTTTTGTGGATTTTTTTATGAATTTAAGGAAGCAGATAAAAAGTTTTTGTCAATTTGTTTGCTCTTCCTTTCCTTTATAGAATTTAGTCAAACCATCACGCTTATTTCATGATAGAAAAAATCGATGCAGACAGTTCAGTTCATCTTCTAATCAGATGAACTATTCTAATTAGGATCTGTTTGCGGTACTTCTAAAGTAGTAAGTTGCTTGCTTCAAACTTATCGAGCATTGAATATTTCTGAAGGTATTCATAAATGTTATAAACATATGCCAGAGCGATCAATTATTCTTCCCGTCTGCTTGCGTTTTGAGGGCTAGGAGAAAGAGGGAAAGAAAAGGATAGGTTGGAAATTCCTTTTCGGTATTCCGGAAATGGATATGCAGATTTGACTGTTGTTGTTTGGCTTTTTCTTCTTATCCTTTCTTATTTTTTATAGGTCAGAAATTTGATAGGTTGATTAACTAATTAAACTTTCAGAATAATGCTTATCTCTATCATGAATTCTTTGCGTAAACACGTTTCTAAGGATTCCGGATGGAGTTAAGCTACCAATTACTGGAAACAAATATGGAGTATAGGAACTTTTTGGAAAGCTTCATAAGCGTCGACATAACGTAACGTATTTCGTTAACCACATTTTAAGAACTAAGTAATCGCGTTTTAGAAACGTTACCGGAAGGTAACCTGCAGTGGATTTTATATCAGCCAAGATTTTGGTGATTGCTTGGAATTATGAGTAAGAAGCCTAATACGGATTATGTCGCTAAAGGGTTAGCGAGCTGCGATGGAGAAATCTATTTTTCGAATAAGGTTTGCCGTTTCAAATTTCACACTTTCAAAAGTTTGAAATTTAGGATGCAGTCAGAAGATATGCTGTCCCATTATCATCATATACTAAGTTTATATTGAGATTAGGAAAAGTGAGGAAAAACTGTTTGTTTAGAAAGATAAAAAATTTGCTAATTGCATCGTCTGGGAAGTTGCTTTGCAAATTCTAAATTAATTTAGATCAATCCCGCTACAAATACCAGGGCCATCGAATGTGGAGTTGGTGTCAACAGCAAGACTTCTGCACCACCAAGTAAATTAATTCGAAGATTTGGAAATTTTTCTAGAGCGCTTATCAATTTTTATTTTTGAGTAAGCTGTTACATTGTCGATTGTACTGGCAAGGCTTTTGCGTTACTGCTGAAAATTTCCGGTAAAAATGAAAATTGTAGCTGGCACATGGGTCAGTATTGATAGTGATGATGACGATAGCGATGTTACTGAAAATTTTGTCGATCCACTTTCATATTACGTATTTGGTAAGACGAAGCCAGCAGTATTAGAGAGTGAATCAGTTTCTGGAAGCAATAATGGTTTGTTATTTTTGCACATTTTACGGTGTATTAGTGCCCACGCGTTAGCTATTTGTAATCAATGGTTGAAATCACAGTTAAACACACAAAAATTGAGAAATATTCGCCGTACGCATGTATCTAGGAGAAAAACATAACTATTTCAGTTGGTCCTTCAGAAACAGCAAATCCTCAACAAGCAGAAAGTAATCGACACAGGGAGTTTTCGACAACATAGGCATTGAAATCTGGCTAGTCACCCGAATTTTTGTTCTGGGAATTTTATCTCACTAATGAAAAGATAAAACAAATACCAGGCATTGTTCCTTTCTCAACCATATATTTTCAAGCAAAAAAAGAAACCAAGAATTTCAGCAAACGACAGTAAAACCGAGGATAACAACAGTTTTATTGAGAAAAAGTCGACTGCACATCTTTGAAAAGGATGAAAAGCACCATTCACCATTGTTAAGTGAAATTGCTGGAGAAAAACCAAAGTAAGCTTTCAGTCCTGATCTCCCTTGTTGTGTACCTTTATTGATATATTTTTCCAATATTTATGTTTTATGGAATACTTCTGTTTGTTTTTACAGTTGAATAAAAATTTCATATCTTGACAGAAAAAATGAATGCAATTCTATTAAAAATTTATATAAAAAAATGCCACATTTAACCACTGTTCCTGATGGTCAAGTGAAGAAAACAAACTGCTAAGAATATGAGAATCAGTGAAATGGCAGCATCAATTTTTCTATTCGAAGCTCCGTCTTTTGCATTTCTCCCAAATTTTAAATTTTTAATTTTCTCAACTTCACTGAAATTATAAAGTTCAGTGTTCGAGAGTCCAATTAGTTGTTTTTTCCATCATATTGAACAGCGAGAATAGAAAATACAAAAGGAAAAGAGACAAAAAGAGGACTCGATCAACAAGAAAGGGAAAAAGGAGAGGAATTAACGAGAAAACGAGGAAGAATTATTACTACTAATTAACAATTGCTTTATTCTGGTCGTGAACTCGTCAAATCGATATCTCGAAATCTATACCTGCTTAATTATCAAGCCTGAAGTGCGTTTGCATGATTCTTCCATCTCTTTTAAGAGTGTTTACATTTTCTTTGCATGATTGAGTTTTCAGATGCTTGTATCTCGGACGATGCGTCCTGCTTACTTTTTCTTTTCAAGTGATATGAAATATTTATTTCTGTCAAATCTTGCTTTCCCTCTAATCACTATGCTTCTTTCCATCAATTCATTCTATATTTTATTGTTTATATTATTATAAAATATAAACCGTACAATAAAAATTCTAGAAATACCAATTATTTTCATGCCACCCGCTGGTTATCGGTTGTTCAAAGCATTACAGTGAATAAATCCATTTTCTGATGTTCAATGCTTACGGTGAAAGTTTAAAAAAAAGAAAAAAGTAATAAGGCTCCATTACTCCTAAATATTAAAAAATTATAAAAAGAAGTGGAATTGTCCAGTAACAACTGTGAATTAAAATCAGCAAATGCCAGTAATTTGGAACAAAGTTGGACTACGCAGTTTCACTTGTTAAATTTTGGAAGCTTTGTATAAGGCTCTTAAAGTATGGAAAGGCAAAGGAGTAAGTGAATGATAATTTTTAAAAAATGTTCCTTCAGTAATTTGGCATTGGCTGTTTAACAGCGCCAAAATTAAACCAGCGGTTTGTCATCGTTCGATGCTCCGCTCTCATCATCCGAATGACGCTCACACAAATCCGCTACCATCTGAAAAAAGATTTCTTTACTCATTATCATACTTCTCTTCAAACTTCAGTTTTGTTTCCAAAAATTTGATACTAATTATCTTAACATTGTCAACCACTGGACAGATGTAAGTCTTGCTTGCTTCATAGTCATAAAGCAAAACATGAAATTGTGGCTTGTTACTACTGTTGTCAGGGTGTTTTTAGACTCGTATTTTTTGTTAATGTGCACAAACTTAAAAATATCATGATTAGCTTATTCATATTAAGGAATATAAATAAGATGCAACTTACATCAGGCCAATTAGCTGCTACAGCTTGAACTCTACACTCTCTTAAGCTTCTTGTTATGTCGATATTTGACGACATAAGTAAGAAGGAAGTTACTGTCGCTTAGCTACTGTCGCTTAGTTTGAGTTAAATTCATAAAACTGAAGTACTCCACTTCTAACTTTCATATGCTTTGATCCTATCCGTGTAGTTGTAGAAAAGTGGAAAATTCTTTTTGAAGGAGCAGTGAAAAATCATTAAAGATAAATTCTT